CACACATCAGAAGGCGTTGTTTTTCCAAGGATGGCGAGCGCACGTGGGAGAATCTTACAATTCATGAGGATTAATGTAATACTCGTAACGCATGAATATTCCATGGCGTCAGTAGCGGTGTTGTGAAGGTGTGCAGTGTGTGTGTGTGTGTGTGTGTGTAAAACGAGCTCATGCACTATGGAGCTAATGCATTCAATGGGTTCTCATCTCAGGTAAATGACCTTGACGAGCGGCCTCCTGGACCCTTGATGCCCTCCTGTCATGTTTCTGCAAAAATCATTGTTTATTTAAAACAGCTTTTTTAAGACCATCGATGTGTCAGGATGTGTCGCCCAGGACCACGTCGTCTCCTTGGTTACGAGGGATCTCTCCCATCACTTAACGCGGGGGACGATTCTTCGGCTTTTATTCCGTCAGCAACCCGCCCCCCTCCCGCCCCTCACCCCCCTCCCCCGCTCTCAGCTAATTGAGACTTTGACTTACCGGCGGGTGAAATGTGTGAATTACATTAGCCGCTACGACGTGTTAAGAAAAGAAGATAAAACGCTTGTGCCGAGATAAGAAGTGGAGCCCGATGAGGCAAAATCAGTGCAGACGCATTGGATGTGGAAGAAGGGGGAGGGACGGGGGGGGGACGGGGTGTTGTGCGGTGATCTCGCTGTCAGGTGATTGAGGCCACGGGTGGTGGAACGCGGGTCGCGAGGGAGGGAGGGAATTAAACACACGGACGCGTGCGGGGGGGGATTAGTACTTGGAGCCACAGCTGTTCTGTTTCTAGCGAGAGGAGATTTCCCTTTGATACCCGCGTTCATCTCTTCACGCTCTCCTGGGTGATAGCGGCCTTTTCTCGCACAGCGTGACAGACGATGTCTCGCCCCTGTGAGAAGATTGTACCCGTTCAATGGAAATCAAGCAGGCGACAGAGGGACGGTTTAATAAGGTGGAGACGAGGTGAACGGGGGAGTGCGGAGGGGAAGTGACGACGGCGGAAGAAGCCATTCGGATCGCTTTACCTCGGCGCTCCACCCCAAGAGGCCGCGTTCAAATCCTCACGCCAAATGTCCGGTGAGGACACTCCGGGACGGTCTGTCCACCCGCCCCGGCCCGGAGGCCCTCTGGCAGCTCGTCCTCCGGCCGGAAGCAGCATGGAGGCCCACTGACGTTCTGCTCCTGAGGTGGAGGGAAGCTCTTCCAGTGTGTGCAACGTATTCTCAGCAAGACGGAGGTTTATTTTGAAAAGACAAAATGAACCGTGTTCACATTTTTTTTCTGAAATATTCATTGGAGCTCGGCGGTCAAAAGGGAGACCGAGGGGACGTCAACTAGTTATTTTAAAAAGATTTCTGATGCTGAGAGTTACGGAGCTCACTGGTTCTGCCGCTTATCAGGCATGAAAAGGGGTCAAGGGTGAAAAAGGTGAGAAGGATATTAACCCTCTAGGGGTTTTCAACTGGTTTTGTCCCAGAGATTTCTTCGCGTCATTCATTGATTCATTGAAATTCACCGTGTCTTCGGGTCAATGATTCGTTCAGCGTACTTTGAAGTCAGAATCAGGTTGGCGGGTCTGCTTATTGATAGAACGGTGAAGCACTTCACCTTCTGCCTCGTCGGCCCCCTCACCTCAACATCTACCTCCTCGAGAACGCTAGCGTTAGCTAACGGAGCTTTAGCTAGCTGGCCGACGTCGCGTTAAATGACTCAACTCATCAAGCTGTAGCTAACGTTAGCTAAGTCTATGTCAACAAAGCTCCCGGCTAACTTAACTTAGATATACCAGGAAATATTAAAATGATTCGCAGTTCACTGAATCTCGCGCTTCCTTCTGACACTGAATCTACGCGATTGACGTAGGTCACCTATTTTGGTTTCAAAACGGCGAATTTCGCCGAAAGGTGAGGGATTTTCATGCCTGGCTTATGCTTTTATCATTCAACTGCTTATTGCGTAAGCACAGTCACAAGTCACATGACTGTAATAAACACGTCTAATATTATTTGGACGCTCAATGAAAAATGATTCTGAAAGAAAATGAGAATCTTCCTTGAAAAGCCGCCATCATCAAAAGACAAAAAGAAAATCCTACAAAGAGGAAGAGACAAAAAAAAAAAATCTCATTAGAAAGACTATTTCCCTGATCTGTGTGCTTCAGTGAGGAAGCAGATTGCCTTTCGGTACTTCGTTAATAAATGAGCATGTGAACAATGGCGCAGCGACGGCTCCGTTGTCTTGAAGCCAAAGTCCACTCAGTCATTAGGCCGCCTCGCCAGTCTGCAAATACGAGTCTGCAAATACGAGTCTGCAAATACGAGTCTGCGTGGGAAAAAAAAAAGAGCGTCGCCGAACAACAACGTGAACCCGGTTTCACTCGACAGCTTCGCTGCCCCCCGAGCTGCGTTCCGTCCGCCAAGGTAGAACTCAGAATAGAGCTCGATTAAGGAAGGAGGGGAGGAAGCAGCCAGATGACTTACAGAGCGGGCACATTTTAGCGAGGGGGGGGGGGGGGGGGCACGGATGGATGGATTTAAGGCATCAGGCGGCCGTGTTGTGGAGAGGATTTATTCTTCTGATCTCTCAAAATGATTCCAATCAGTTGCTTTGTAATCAGGGTTTGGACCAGGAGCTTTGAAGTCGGCGTCCTGGCGGCTTTGACGCTGCAGCACCTGCGGATTTTCTTTCTTTAAAGGGTAAAAAAAATAAAAAAATGAAACAGTTATAAAGCTGCCGCATACTTTCATTTGGCTTTGAAAAAGGCACAAAGCGTCTCCTGTCAGAGGCCCCGTCTTCAACTTCACATCTGTGTCATCCAGTGGCGATTACAGTGACTCGCGGTTTCCATTTATACAGCATGACGGTTAAGACCATTTCCCGGAGCCACATGGACACGTTCCCGAGGCGGCCGCGGGGATTTCTTTTTCCCATGAAAAATGATGAAACCGCAGGACGCGGAGCTCCCGAGTCAAGCGGCCGCACAGACATCAGATGCGAGGTTTTCACATCACGGCGAGACTGGAAGTGGTTTCAAATGTCCTGTCGACATGTCGGCACGTTTTACATTTTTATAGAAATCTTCATGTTTTTCGTTTGCAAACGGAGACGTCGTCGCCGAGTCTCTCCGCCTGACCACAAAATGACCCCCAAAAAACAACCCGTTCACTCCTCTCTGTTTATAAAAGCATCGCGCTGCTCGTGTGCTCAGTACCGGCCGTCTAATGAGATCCTTTTGGTAATTATCTGTGAGGAGCTAATTAATCACTGCCTGCATGTTTACCCGGACCTGTTTTAAATGCTTAACGGCAGCGGATGACGACGTGATTTCGTCAGCTGTTTTTGGAGTTAATTGGATTAATTGGAAACTATCGGATTCTATTAAGAAAGCGTTGAAGGGTTTATTTTAAATTACGCCTAAAGGGCAGAAGTTTGAGTCAGAGACTCTCCGGATACTGCACATCTTCAGCAGCATCTCTATCCATGAAAATATGGAATGGTAATAATTTAAGCACACCCTTAATGCAGGTAAAAGCATGATACAGCAGGTCACACATGTCAAAATAAGTTTACTTCAAAGCAAAGATGTGCAGAAGATTCTCACTTCACTGTGTAGATGACGGCATTTAACACAGCGAATGTCACCTGTAAGTCAAATGAGTGGCTGTTCATAATGATATTAAACCAGTTTAATGCTCTTAACGGGTGTCTGACGTCCTCACGCTTCTGTGTTTTCAGCTCCGCGGTTGGAATGCGAATGTGGTTCAAAGTCGTCGGGAAGGAAGAGATGTAATCTGGCCCCCCCTCGCAGCGGCGCGGTTCACGGGGGGCCGACGGGGGCGATGTCGCCGCGCGTCGCCTCTCGTCAACCCGATAAAAGGATTTGACGCGACGGGCTAGACGCGCGCGTGACTTCCGCTCGTGAATAAGGAATGAGCCGTTTGAGGAAGAGGAAACTCACGGGCACGAGTGTGTTTTCCTCGGCGTGGTTCCGCTCTTCGGCCTGCACGCTTTTTTTGTCATTTGCTTTTATTCTCGGGTGGCGTCCATGCGTGAAGCGATGGGTCGCCGCGTGTCAGCGCGTCTCGCCCTCCCTGTGTGGCTCAGAGGCCTTCTGCCGCGGTCGGGCGCCACTTTCCCCCCCCCCCGTGGTTCCAGGCCCAGTGAGCGCGGCGACCGTGCTCGCCGAAGGGGAGCGCCGGTGGGTTCGTGGTTGGTTCTTTGGTGGGGGGGGTTTTCCCATTCAATTCAACCGAGTTGTGCGGTCCTTTCCATTCAAAGACACGTCTCTCCTCCGAGTGGTTGCTGCCCGTCAGACGCCGCCGGTCTTATTTTATTTAAAACCTGGCTGGTCGAATTAATGAGGCTGAACCCCCGAGAAGGCCGGATTACTGGATAACTGTCTGCCTGGTTGGACGCCGCTGCTTTGAGAGGAGGAGAAATGAGGGCGACTGCTGCAACGTGTGCGTGCGTGCGTGCGTGTGTGTGTGTGCGTGTGTGTGTGTCTGTGTGTGTGTGTAGGGGGTTTGGGGTAGCCTTGAACCTAGGTGGGAGGAGGAGGTGGGATTCAAAATAAGAAAGACATGTGGGAAGTGGCGATGCGAGGGAACGAGAGAGGGATGAGAGAAATCGCAGCGAGCGGGGGGAGGCGGATGGGAGGGGGGAGTTGGATGGGAGAGGGAGGAGGGGGGAGGGGCCTGCTGTAAGACAGATTGGTGATGTTAATGTTCCTGCTTATTAATAATTTAGTGAGAAAATCTCCCTTGGTACCATCGCTTACAAAATCCAGGAATACCCATGCTCTGCCCATTGTGTGTGTGTGTGTGTGTGTGTGTGTGTGTGTGTGTGTGTGTGTGTGTGTGTGCGCCTGTCAGTCTACTGAGGGCCAGAGGACATATGCTGGTCAGCCAGCTGCCCTCCCTTCTGTCTCATCATTTCCTCTCTTTCTCCCTGTAGGGGGCCATTACAGTGAGGCCCCATGGGCCCCCCCCACACACACACACACACACAGTCACGCGCCATCCAGCTCAGCTCCAGGGCCTTGGCCACATTAGCACCCTGGCGGGTGGCCTGGCCGCCTCCAGCAGGAGAGCTGGCCCCCTTTGGAGGAGCTGGAACGGCCACAAAGTGGAAAGGATCTAATCCCATTTGACTCTTTCTTTCCTTTCTCTTTTTTTTTTTTTTTTGCAGCGTGCACAGCCACCACGGGGCTTATTGAAGACCCCTCTGCACTGTAAGTGAATATGAAATATGACCTGCGCATGTGATGTGTGCCCACTGGGAACCATCGGATCAAATGTCTGCAGGGTCATAAGATGAAAACCAGCTGTGATGCTGCAGTCAAAGCACACGAAGCCCATTTAAGCCCCTTCACAGTGACATCACATGACTTTATACGGTTCATAAGCACATCCTGCAGCTGCGCTTCCCTATGCGGATCAACAACCCCCCCCCCCCTGTTGAATGGAGCGTACCTGCGTAAGGGACGGGGGCGTCTTTGTCCAGGGCCACCAGAGGAGGATCCAGCAGGACCACGTCGGTGTCTTCAGTGATCACCCCGTGGTACGACGTCTCGATCCACGGCTTGTGCTTGTTCACTGCAGGGGGGGGGGGGGACAGAAGGCAGAGCGTGAGACGTCCGGCCGCGCGGCTTCACTTTCAAAAACAATCCAAGTCGCGGCCCGAGGCTCCTTGCAGACATTCTCATTTTGCTAATCTCCCCCTGAGAGCTCCTTCCTCTTTCTTTTGTTCTTTTCTTTCTTCCACGTTCCCTGCAGGTTTCAAAGCAAAGTGCTGTTCTTGATCAATGGCCGCCGCCGCGCTGCCAGCAGAGAGGCTGAGGCAAAACAAAGTTCATGTGCTGAGGGCCTGATTAAGCGCCATAATTGAGTAGCGCCTCCCCCCCCCACTCCCCCGTCCTGTGTGGCACCGTGCCGACTGGCAGGCCTTTTGTTTGTTTACCTCGTCTCCCAGAAAAAGGAGAAAAAGAAGGGATGAGGAAAAAAACTCGAATCGACACGAAAGATTATGATAGAAAAGAGAAAAAAAAACACACCATGTGGTTTAATGCGGAATGACGTGCATTTGCAACAATAATGCAAAGTAGAGATGCAGCGAAAGAAGAAGTCAAATTATTATTATTATTATTATTTTTTAGTTCGCCTGAGGCCTTGATGTCAATTAAATTTCTCATGAAGAAATTGTAGAAACTCACTTCGGATAAGACATTAAATTGGAAATCAGAATTGTCCGCATGCATTCAAGCAAAAACCAAAACCGACAAATGCGAGTCGGTACAGCGATTATCGTGTATACTTAGTTAAATAAGATGATAAAATACTCTCTTATGTCATCATCTTATTGTTCTGATGAAACAGAACTTACAGAGCAACGGAGCTTCCATACAACATGTTGTGGAGCTGTTGTTTGCCGCGGGGGGAACGCGCTAGCGCTACGCGGCCCGCTGCAGACACACAGGACCACCTACATGAATACGCACAACGTTTGCCACAACGGTGACGGGTAAAACGCTGCCGCATTTCAACTTCAAATGCCAAAGCGTGCCATTTGGGGAACCGTCAGCTGTGCAGGAATGTCAGAGAGAGAAAAGACGGGAGAACTTGGTTTTTTTCCCCCGCGGACAGTAATTAGCACACGTGGTATTCGCGTCTCCGGGATCATCCAGGAAAATGTCGGCGAAATCAATTACTCCCTCAACGCGAGAGAGGAGCAGTCAACGCTAATATCCTGCACAGACGTGGAGCATACGCACGAGAGCTAATGAGGAAGCTGGTAACCAACGCCGCGCTCGGATTGGGAGGCGCGTTGCCCTTTAAATCCCACATGTGGCCGCGACTGCTCGGCGCCGGGCCGACCCGAAGGTCCTCTTATCAGAAATGACGCGCGCGTGATCAGAGGCGTCTTCGGGGGGGGGGGGGGGGGGGGGGGGTGTCCGCGCGGAGGAAGCGTGGGACACGCGGCGCTAGCATGAAAGACGGAGGGAGGAAGCGCCTATCAGATTGCTAATAATGCAGGGGAGGGGAGGCGGGGGGAGGGAGGGAGGAGGCGTCAGGGTGGAGAAATGAAGCGCGAGATTCCCAGGGGGAACATGGCGGCCGCTTTCCCCCCGATCGAACCCCGGGCTGCGAGCGCTAATGACACTTAAGTGATTAGCTACGTACTCCTAGACCACGACTAAACACGGTTAATCCGCCGATCGATGGGAGGAGACGCGACACCCCGACGCCATCTCACCCGGCGGGACGGATACGGGGGCCAATGAGCGAAGGCTCCACCTCGAACCTTCAGACAGCCTCCGATCAAAGAAAGAAAAGCCAGAGCTGCTCTCCGAGCGACCCCAATTTTTAACAGCAAACACCTTGAATGGCCACTGAAAGCCTTCGGTGAACGGCGTGCGGCGACCTCGGCTGCGAGTGGAGGGAAGGCGGATTTGCCGGCGCCGTACGAGATGGAGATAAGAGGCGACATTTTTTATGTTCCCCCCCCCCGACACGAATCAGACGCGCCGCATTTTCGGTGTTAACAAGCCGAGGAATCTGCTCACGTGAAATCGATGTGTTTGCTTCTTCGAACCAGAGGTGGGAGTTAAATACCGCGACCTTTCGTCCAGTTGAAGAGGGGGGGGAACGGGAGGGGGGGGGGCGGGTTCTCTTCAACTGGCTTCAACTGGCTCGACTAAATCCTTTGACACTGTATTAGATTGTGATGTTGCTGCTCTTCCTCTTCTCCTTTTACAAATTATTATTATTACTGTCTCTTCTTGAAGGTTATTCTTTTGTTTTATTTATTTATTGAGTTTATTTAATAATTTAATATTTTTATCTTATTATATTGTATAAAACGTGTATATAATGTGTATCTTAATTCTATTTTCTTCCCTGTACATGCTGCTGTGACACCAAAATTTCCCTCTTGAGAGATCAATAAAGCATCTATCTATCTATCTAGATTTCTCGGCCTTCGCTGTCTTTTGATTTAAAGCAACGGCTCACACCTGTTCTCTGCCCCCCCCCCACCCGCCCCCCGGCCCCCCGCCGGCAGATGCGTGCAGCCTCCAGATTCCACAGATTCCGCGTGTTTGACTTTCGGGCCTGCAGAATTATCTCGCTCCTCCAAATGAAGTCATTTTAACGACGTGGGGGTTGGAGGGCTACAGTTACGCGGCCCACGCAGGCCCTGTGTGATCCGGTGGGCCCCCCCCACCCGCCGGTCGCCGCCGCCTCCCGCCGCTAATGAAGCCGCGAGGAGACCGGGGAGCCGCCGACAACTCGCGCCGCCTCCTGACGGGTTCGTGCCGCAGTCTGAAGAGCAACAGCGGTAATTAAAAAGAGCTCTGTAGGAAATTAAACTCCGGTTGATAAGGTCAGCAGGCGCCGCGGCGGACACATCGGCGTAATGAAAAGTAAACTCGGCGGAGACGGTCCAGCGCGGCCGCCGACGGGCAATCACAAAGCCTGCTGGGAGAGCGGCGCTCTGAACCTCGGAGATCTTTGCCGACTCGAAGTCTTCCTCGCGCCTTTCGCGGAGCCGACTGCCGGGAGACGACTTCTGAAGCTTCTGGGTGGAGACGCTAAATACAAGAAACGACCGCTACGACCGAGTTGACCATCAAGTAAACGAAACCCCCCCGGAGGCGCGTCGGCGGGTTCTGCGGCACGCAGGCGTCGCCTCAGAGGCCTGAAGAGGCCGGCGGTACTTGAACCACGGCGGAATAAGTCATTTTTATAGTGCCCAGGAATGTGGAGAGTTTACTCCGTCGCCGCATGCGGCAGATGGGACTCATTAACCTGCAGAGATGGGAAAAGGCCGACTGCACAGCGCCGCTCGGCTACCGGCGGCCCCAAAGGGAAGAGCCAGAAACACCATCAGAGAGAGATGCGTTATGCATAAAGGTACACAATAAAACTAAAAGCATCCATCCAGATGACCAAGAGTGGAGGTATAGGAACTGGAAATGCACTTTCGGTGCCATTACCCCCCCCCAGCTATCACGACCCCTTTTTGTCGAGTGGCTCGACAGCCACAAATGTTCCCGCGGTGCATCATTTGAGAGCCATTACACCCCCCCCGGCCCATTAGCGCACGCGTGCGTTGAGAGTTGGCATTTACGGCTTCCCGCCGCTCACGCGGGCGCGAGCGTGCGCCGGGAGCGCGTCCAGAGGTGCAACTTATTATTAAGGCGGATTTCCCTCTAAATCCCAAACTTTAGAAATACTTTGTAAAACAGCTCTTAACTCTCAGTGACTCACCATCTGATATTTTGTTTCCTGCGTGATTGGATACGAAACGCTACGATTAGAGGGGCTTCGTGGCCGAACGGCCATTTCGGTCTAATTTCATGATTAGTTTCACTGACATATTATCGTAATCAACATAGAATCCGTTGGAGCTTCGAGTTTGACATCCGTATTAATAATTCCCCCTCGGCTGTGAATCGACTGTCACAGAGAGAAGTTTGGTCCCCGAGCGCAGAGAGGGAGGGCGAAGTCGTGCAGGGGGGCGGGGGGGGGGGGGTTTGAGGGGAACTCAGGACGCCCGTTGTTTTTTATACTTTTTCACCCGAGGGGCGTGTAACAATATACGAGAGGTGGGATCGATCCCAAAACCCACCACTTTCATCCTCGGCGTGAGGGCTGGGGTGGGAGGAGAGAAAAAAAACGAAGGACGAAATGGGGCGCCAAGACTCTTACTGTGTGTGTGTGTTTGTGTGTGTGTGTGTGTGTGTGTGTGTGTGGCCCTGAGATCAGCTGTGAAGCGCAGTGAGTAAATAAAAGCATGTAACCCTTTTAGGATGCCTGGACTCCTCAAAGTGAATCCAACTGTCTAATGGAAGACGAGATGCACCACGCACACAATCTGGGCTGTGTGCGTGTGTGTGTGCGTGTGTGTGTGTGTGTGTGTGTGAGGAACAGCGTGACCTTGGAAACCATTTGTCATTGTGTCCGTTCCCATTTGTTTGGTTGAATTTGTCCGCCCCTCCCGACTCTTTTTCTATTGATCTTTACATTTCTTTGTTCTTATTTTCAATTGATTTCCCACAACCTTTATCTGTCTTTTCTCTTTTAATCTTTACTTTTTTTTTTTGCCTTTACTTTCAATTTCTTCTGCACTCGCTTTCATCACTCAAAGACATCCAATCAAATGTTCGCCTTCGTCTGGTCAGTCACTCTTTTCATCTTAAACGACGTCGGCCCGCACACACACACACACACACACTCTCCCCCAGCACTTAGCCCCCCCCGCTCCACAGCGTGTGTTTGTCATTCCTCCAGGCGGTCCATTCCACTCGGCCTCTCTCCATCTTTCTCATGTCACTCGAAAAATCGAAGGCAAGAGTGCGATGAGATGAGAGGAAGAGTGTTGCTTAACACACACACACACACACACACACACACACACACACACACACACACACACACACACACACACACACACACACTGGTGTGTCTCCTCTCACATTGGAACACAAGCGAGAGAAAGCCACTCCAGACCCCCCCCCCCCCCCCCCCCACCCCTGATTCCACCCAGAATAACCGTTATCACCTCTCACTGTGGCATTATTTTATATTCAGAGTTC